ACGCACCACGCCGTGACACACACACAAAGATCCCCGGTATAGCCTTAACAGACTGTAGGGGCAAGTGCTGTTAGCGAGCACCTATGAAGGCCAGAACGGTACACAAGGAGGTGGGTGGCCAGCACCACGCCCGACCGCCTTTGTCTCCCTAGTGGCAATGTTTACACACCGCACCAGGTACTCATTTGAGGCTGAGTCGACCTAGGGGAGGCCCGGGACCGGTTCAAATAATCGTCACTGGTGTTGGCCGTGAGCGGGAATCAAACTCGGGTCGCCAGGTTCATAGCGCAGCGCGCTAACCGCTACACTACCGCTCCCCACTAAAGAGCCATAACACGCCGTGACACACACACACACACCACACAGTGACACACACAGTGACACACACACCACGACACACACAGTGACACACACACAGTGACACACACACACACCACGACACACACAGTGACACACACCACGCAGTGACACACACACACAGTGACACACACACACCACGGGAGTGGGAGTCGAGGCAGACGAGGGCACGGCTCAAGACGAGCAGCGGCAGCAGGAGAAGGAGGAGAGAGAGGAGAGAGAGGAGAAGGAGGAGAAGGAGGAGAGAGTGGAGAGGAGGAGGAGGAGAGGGAGGAGAGAGATGAGAAGGAGGAGAGAGAGGAGAGGAGAAGGAGGAGAAGGAGGAGAGAGAGGAGAGGAGAAGGAGGAGAAGGAGGAGAGAGAGGAGAAGAAAGAGAGAGAGGAGAAGGAGGAGAGAGAGGAGAGAGAGGAGAAGGAGGAGAGAGAGGAGAGGAGATGAGAAGGAGGAGAGAGAGGAGAGGAGAAGGAGGAGAAGGAGGAGAGAGAGGAGAGGAGAAGGAGGAGAAGGAGGAGAGAGAGGAGAAGAAGGAGAGAGAGGAGAAGGAGGAGAGAGAGGAGAGAGAGAAGGAGGAGAAGGAGGAGAGAGAGGAGAAGGAGGAGAGAGAGGAGAGAGAGGAGAAGGAGGAGAAGGAGGAGAAGGAGGAGAGAGAGGAGAAGGAGAAGAGAGAGGAGAGGGAAGAGAGGAAGGAGGAGAAGGAGGAGAGGGAGGAGAAGGAGGAGAGAGAGGAGAGGGAGGAGAAGGAGGAGAAGGAGGAGAGGGAGGAGAGAGAGGAGAGGGAAGAGAGGGAGGAGAGAGAGGAGAAGGAGGAGAAGGAGGAGAGAGAGGAGAGGGAAGAGAGGGAGGAGGCATTGACCGCGTCAAGATGTCGGGGGTGGGGGGGGCAGAAGCAAGGAGCGCGTAGAAGTGAGCGACACGGAGCAGCGTGTGTTCTCGCAGGGGGCGGGGACTGGGGCTCGTCGCACAGGTCACGTGGTTCGCGGGAGGCTCTTGAGCTGATTTAGATCTACAGTACAGATAACCGATGACCTCTCCGATGCAGATGCTGGGCAGCGTCATCTTTGGAGTGGTGGGCCTCGTAGGCTCTGGATATTGCGTGATCGTGTCGGCCGTGGCGTTGGACTACGGGCCTTACTGCTAGAGCGGAACGTGGTCCTACTTCTTTAAAGACATGAAGCAAGCAATCGGGTCAGTGACTCCTCCTGAGCTGAGCACTTGCAGGGCTGCGCCTTCATCCACCATAGTACGATAGCGTTGCTTGGGGTAGAGGTGGATTTTTTTTTTTGGGTGGGGGGGGGCTTTTGAAAAGACGAATCCTCATGAAGACCACGTGTGCGCTTTGCGCGTGCAGCTTCAACTACCTGAGCCACCCGGACACGTGGGGATTCTGCCTGCTCCCGCACAACATCGTGGAGTGGCACGTGGCGCTCTTCTCGCTGCTGCTCGTCTGCTCGCTGGTGGAGCTCGTGATGTGCGCCGTGCAGGTCGTCAACGGCCTCATGGGGACCTTGTGCGGGTCCTGAAGGCCTTCCGCGGTGAGCTGGTGTGAGCACGTGTCACAGTGGGAGGGAGGGGAGGGTCCTGCAGGCCTTCCGTGGTGAGCTGATGTGAGCACGTGTCACAGTGGGGGGAGGGGGGGGGTCCTGCAGGCCTTCCGTGGTGAGCTGGTGTGAGCACGTGTCACAGTGGGAGGGAGGGGAGGGTCCTGCAGGCCTTCCGTGGTGAGCTGGTGTGAGCACGTGTCACAGTGGGGGGAGGGTCCTGCAGGCCTTCCGTGGTGAGCTGATGTGAGCACGTGTCACAGTGGGAGGGTCCTGCAGTCCTTTACACGGTGAGCTGGTGTGAGCACGTGTCACAGTGGGAGTGTCCTGCAGGCCCTTCCACGGTGAGCTGGTGTGAGCACGTGCCACAGTAGGAGGGTCCTACAGGCCCTTCCACGGTGAGCTGGTGTGAGCACGTGTCACAGTGGGGGGTCTTACAGGCCTTCCACGGTGAGCTGGTGTGAGCACGTGTCACAGTGGGGGGGAGGGTCCTGCAGGCCTTTACATGGTGAGCAGGTGTGAGCACGTGTCACAGTGGGGGGTGGGTCCTGCAGTCCCTTTTACGGTGAGCTGGTGTGATCACGTGTCACAGAGGGGAGGGTCGTGCACGCCCTTCCACGGTGCGCTGGTGTGAGCACGTGTCACAGTGGGGGGGGAGGGTCCTGCAGTCTCTTCTACGGTGAGCTGGTGTGAGCACGTGTCACAGTGGGAGGTTCCTACAGGCCCTTCCACGGTGAGCTGGTGTGAGCACGTGTCACAGTGGGGGGGAGGGTCCTGCAGGCCTTTACACGGTGAGCTGGTGTGAGCACGTGTCACAGTGGGAGGGTCCTACAGGCCCTTCCACGGTGAGCTGGTGTGAGCACGTGTCACAGTGGCGAGGGTCGTGCACGCCCTTCCGTGGTGAGTACCCCGGCCGGCTAAGCGTTTATTTAGGCACGGGTGAACGCGACCCTGCGGAGCTGCGACACCCGGTTCCTGTGCTCACACAGTCGTTAATTAAACTGCGTGAAGCTTTTGCAATGTTGCGCTGATTGTGCCCAAGTGGCCCCATCGTAAAGACGGAAGCGCGGGTGGCCTCGGTCAACCCAGCGGTAAATCATTCACAAGCCTCACCGCTGACGAGCCAGTTAATGTTGGGGCTGTTCTGAAGTTTGCTTGCTCAAACCAATGCCCGATGGTTAATGTAAACCCGAGAAGAAGCCCCATATGCCGATATTACTGACGAATGTTTGCATTTCTTTTTCTGGAAATTTAAACCGAGCCTAGCAAACATGTGAGCGCGTGCCAGACACCTAATATTTCCTACCGTACACAAAACGACGAAACTCATCTTGCTGACCGTCAGTCGGTCACATTTTGCGCAATGTATTGATGGTGAATTAAGACAAAAAGTACAAGTCACGTAGTTCTTCAGGAACTGGTGGTTTCGCACCAGATTTGCTGAAAGTGTTTGTGAACATGAGACTGTAATTTTTTTTTTAAATTAAAACGTGAATTACATTTCATCGTCGCATTGTGCATAGCCTACACATTGCGAATTCCGTTCTTGTGCAGAGTCAAGTTGCGTGAAGACACGAGCGAGAGGAGCCGGAGCCGAACACGTTTCGTCCTCCTCGCACGCCACGACGCCTTCTGGAGCCGTCTTTAAATCGCCTTCACGTCTCTCCCGCTGACACGAGCTTCAAACACGTGAGCCTTTACGTTGTGACGAGACAATTGAAACGGAATCCTGAAGCAAGCTCCGGCATCCCACGGCGCTGCACGACTTGTTACGCAGCGCCAAACAACGGAGGCGCGGGAAGGCGACCCGAGAGGGGGTTGCCAACAGTATAGCCCGTGAGCTGTGATGTGCGTCATCCCATTTGACTAATTTGAGTGTAATTATTTTTAGAATTTGGCAAATTTTGGACCACGGGATCTTTAACTGGCCGCGTCGTATGTTACGGTCAATGCACCGGCAGCATTAACCAGGGCGTCCGCTGGAATTCGTGACCGTGAACCTCTGTAGCGAGCAGTGAACGGGTTACCGCGAGGCCACGTGACCGCCCCGACGAGTTTCACTTTGCAGCAGCAGCAGCGTCGTCGTGGTGTTTAACTGGACCAGCGCTGTTGTGTTTACGCATTGATTTTGTTAAACGTACAGCTCTATCCACTGCTGCAACGAGGATCTCTTCATGCCGTGTCAGGTCGCGGGGGGTTGTTTGACCATACTTCACCACGCTGGTCAATGCAGATTGGTAAAGGGGGTGCCCAAAATCCAGTTCAGATCTCACTCGCCCACCGGTGTTAACCGCGGCCAGGAAATCAAACTCGGCTGTCCGTGTTCAGTGCGCTAACCAACAACTGCATTGACAGTTTTCGTTCGTTTCATGATAATTTTACGCACACTTGATTATATATATGTATTTTTTAAAGGACTTCTGTTGAACTAACTTTGTTTCTACTTGAAACTTAATGTTCATATTTTAAACGAACGTTACAAACGATGTTAAATGAACTCCGTGGCATGGATTTCCCAGCAATTCAGAGAGATCGCAGCACTGGGCGCCGACTTCCAAGTGATGATGGAACACGTCAGGCAACGCTCTCACGAAATGCGTCCTGAGACTCTTTGAGTCTTTCATGGTGGAGTAACGACTACAAGTTTAAGTGTTGCCACAGGAGCAATTTTGTTATTTTAGCGAGTGTTCAGTTTTTATCCTCTCCCCCCCCCCACCCCCCTCTTAATGGAGTTTGTAAAACTATTTTTAAATAGAGCTGATAGATCTGTTATTATAATTCCACGGGGTGCTTTGCGTGAAGTGTGAAAGATTGCGCTCGATATCTGCGATTACAGCAGACTTAAAGCGTCCCATTAGTCCAGTTACAAAAGAGGTAATTTAATTTGATAAACTATCGTACTTTTTTGGTGTAAACCTTTTTCAGATATAATCTAATCTTGCAACTAGTAAATAAAGGTTCAAAAGTCAAAAGGTTCGTGCTCTTTCTTTCAAACGGAATATCTTCAAGGTGTAGGGTTTATTTCAAATGTATTGCTAATTGCATCGTGATTCACCTTAGTGCAGAATTGCATTTTTTAAAATCTACAAATCTGATCCATGCTATCCAAGTCAGTCATTGTAAACTTTTGCCATTCATAAATGTACTCATTTATTGCACTCAGGAGTAATGAATTGAGCAGGGATATTTGTTTAAACCCTTGAATGTTACAAACACAATGTGCATAAACACGCCTAACAATTCCCCAATAATTAACGCCGCCAAGACAAATATTTATTCTAAGGTTTAACATCATATTGAGAGCTAACGAATTGTTTTCACGGGGAAAGAGAAAAACAATATATACCCCTTCTCACGAGCTTTCCTGCCTTGCTAGGATAAAAGAGTTGCAACAACATCCTGCCCAAATCCGCTGACAAGGAAACTGCAGACTGGGATCGGCGCTTTATCTGCGGGGCCAGGCGCTGTTACCTTCCGGCCCCTGGCAAGGCGCGCGCGTTGGGTGACACAAAACCTGCCGGCTTCCTACTCCAGCAGGCATCCAGCCGCTCACCGCCCAGCCACGAAAGCCAAACTTGCCAGGCTCCTGAAATTTATCCCAAGCCGCCTGCATTCATTTTTCTTTCATCTGTCGTTTAATCCAGCCGACAGGTTTCACTGAGAGAAAAAAAAAGATTATTCTTTTTTGGTTTTCGTTAAAAAAAAAGACAAGGTTCTATAAAGCTCGTGGAAAATAAACAAAACTGAATTTGTTGTTGCCGTTGTCGCAATGACTTTGTTTTGTTCGTGCGCGTGGTTCGAGAAGAGGAGCTGCACTTGTTGAGACCCTTTGGGAGGAAGGCCGTTGCCTGGTAAGCCACCGGACTTTTGCGCTTTCGACGAGGCCGCACTAAAACCCCTTGCTCGCTTGCAGCCCTCGGGGATCGTGACAGCAGTGGGGTGGAAGTTAGAGGAGCGCGTTGCTTAAACCTCGCGCGAGGTTGCGTGCGCGACGGTGACCGCCGACGGTAATCAAACAACAACAACAACAAAATCCAAAACTAAACCGGAGGCCGAGTTGGCGTCTTCATTCTACGGCGCGTGCACGGACCGAGAAGGTGCCACAGGTGGGCAACCGATGCCACACCTGGCGGATGCACGCAGGGCACACGAGCGAGTGCGTATCATTTACTTGCATATTACGTTATCTTGTGTGGGGGAGGCCTTCATCCAGCAGTGGACGGACAGTGGCTGATGACAGTAGAAGGCTGGAGCAAGCAAGTAAGCACGACCGACTCCACGTAGCTTACATCACCATCGTCGGATGTGGCCAGAATGAGACATCACAGCGGTACAATCCGCTGCTCACTCAAGCGCTTATCTGGCTTGACCAACCTGAATGTGAGATTGTAGCTGTTGCTGCTCTGCATCGACGTCAGCGGCCGTACGAAAGAATGAGAAGCTGTAACCTAATCCACTGCTGGATGAACCCGCCCATAAGTCATCCCCATCTCTTCTGGTCCTGCGATGCAACCACCCATCTCGCTCCTCCGCCACCAGCCGACGGCTCCATCTCTACGGTGGGCAAGCCTCTCCGACGTGTCCCCCCCCCCCCCCACATTGGCTGCGAGTAACATTAGCGTCAATGTCACGTCGCTAACGTGCATAGTCCTCTAAATCCGCGTGGTAACTCTCCTCCGAGTGCACTCGCTCTCCAAATGTCTTTGCGCATTTTTTGCGGCTTTTGGACAATGTCCACGGTTCTGATATCCATAGCAATTAACGCTCGCTGATTTATATATATATATTTTAAAAATAACACGTACCACGGGTGTTCTGTACTCAGGGCTTAATCTCAGCCGGGTTCTCCATCCTAAGAAGTATTTCTCGGCACGCCACATCCAGTGTACCCTCTCGCTGCTAGTCACGTGCCACGCTCGCGATTTGCACGGCTGTCTCTGGAAAAAAAATGGTTTGTGAGGAACTGAGAAGTCGGTCGAAGCGTGTGAACGTCCGTTCGCAGTGAATTCAAGACGCAGGTTTGGGAGTGAAAGCCACGCGACATGACGGGATGGTGACCGCGGTTGAGACGCGCAGGGAGATTGAGACCCGGGGAACTTGGGCGACGAACACAAAAGTGGAAGGAAAAACGAGCCGGGGAAGTCGGACAAGCGTTTTTCCCCAAGCCTGTATATTTTTTTGTTGCTACGAATTTAAAATGTGAAGCTATTTCCTGCTGCTCGAATGCGCATCGATGCGGCGCTCATCTGCTGTGTATCGGCCCCCGAGATAATGGTGGAAATTCCACATTCCTATGACGGAGGCGAGTCTCTCCCCCAAGACAACCGCTTTTGATTTCCCCCACTCAGCGGCACCGATTTTTTTTGTGTATCGACCGCAGAGGAGGAGGAGGATTTTGACCTCCGCGACCTTCCTATCTGCGAGGCGCTCGCTCCACCGCTGAGCCACATGACGCAGCGGGGGCGACGACGCAGTGACAAAAGGCCTTAGAAGGGCACCCAGTGAAGCAGTGATACCGGCTGGAGAAAGTAAACTAAACTATATATATAAAAAAAATAACTAGAAACAATGCTTTTTTATTTTACCAGGTAAGGTCCACTGAGCTATGTAGCCCTTTCAGAAGCGACCTGGCCACAAATGATAGCTCAACGAAGCGGCTTATCACGTGGACATTAATATATAGCAGCCAAAATACTCCAAAGCGCGTGATGTTGATTCTAAAATGTGAAGGGGAAAACCGGGGGACACGGCTACAAAATCCACGCGACCACGGGGAAAGACACGGGCAAACTCCCAATATGCAGCAGGCATCAGGGTAAGGCTATAACCCACGACCTCTTTCATACCAGGCGAGGTAGTTAACATCCTCGCCACCGTGACGTCCCATCGGGTCGTCTGTCACATCACGGACGCAGCGATTTGTCGGGGCCCCCTCCGTCACGGGCAGACGGCCGTCGACGCGGGCGGGAGCGGAGCCCTCGCGCGGCGCTCTCGGCTCTCGGCTCGCGCGGCGCAGCCCAGACACGAAGACCCAGACCCTACCCCCAGCCCCCAGCCCCCCCGGAGACGCAGGAGGGAAGTGAGCGACTGTCTCCCTCGTAGGCCAGGCGTGCGAGCGAGCCAAGCAAAGCAGATTAAACAGCGACGTTCACGGAGACCAGAGCAGCACTGCCAACAAACAGCGCCGCGATAGTTCCACGCGCATTAAATCTCCAGAGTGGAATTAGCATTTCCCGACGTTTTTCCCCCCCCTCCGTACCACCTTTGAAATCCGGCAAATCCTTGGTTTCTTAGTTCTACGTTGCAGCTTTGGTTTCCACATGAAAGATAAATCAAGCCCCAGGTCTTGGCAGTCCTCGATAGGCGACCTTATTTGCACTTTCTTACCGCCACGGAAGCCTAATCAATCCAAATACAAGAGTGTGGGCTGTACGAGCCCTCCCTACATTTTTACACACACACACTGACATTTGTCAACCCACTGTCAGGGCCTTGCCACGGCTGCGCGGGTTCCTCTGGGGTTCTTTGACCATACTTCACCGCGTTGGTGAGTGAAAGCGGACAGCACGAGGACGTGCGAGCGTAGGAGAAGCGCCCGATGGAAATGTTCCTTTCGCTGAACTCTGCTCCACCCACGTGGACTCGCAGCCCCCGCGTGCTGTGGCGGTGGCGGTGGCGGTCACGGTGGCGGTGGTCACCCAGCCGGGAGCTCACCCAGCACGGCATGGAAGCAGGGGGTCGAATTCAAAGCAGAAGAAGTCGTTCTACACAAAGTTGTGCGGCACATCAACGTCGCCTCGTTCGGAGAAAGCACTTGCAATTAAAACCAACTGGCGTGCATTGGGTCGCGAAAACGCACCTCCGATAATAGCACGGTTCGGCTACGTACGGTGCGAAAGAAGTCCAACGCGCAGTAACGTACACGCAAAACAAGGTTTAAGAATCCACCGAGATCTGGCGTGCAGGATGTCCAAAATCGACGTGACGGCGAGACGCGAGCGAATCGCACCGATGGCGTTCGCGCTTGTCTCTCTCTCTGGTGAAGGTACCGGAGTGCGTGGACACGCGTCAAGCGCACGCACAGCTGTAGCTACAGCTACAGCTGCTACTCGTGCCCCGTGTGTGCCCTGCTCACGTGCTTCACGGCCCGTACCTTAGCCTGGTCACAGACACCGATGTCGAGGGATGGAAAAAAAATCAGACCCGGCTCCAGCTGTCCTCGGATGGGAGCAAGAGGGCGTGGGGAGGGGGGGCAGTCGAGTCCCTTGTGTGGGGGGGGAGGGGGGCACCAGAGCAGTGATACACAGTCCGGTACCGCGGAGGAGACTGAACTTGGGGGGCAAAGTGAGCTGAGCGTACCCAGCAACGACCACCGCCCCGTGGATCTGAGTGGCGATGATGACGGAGGAGGGAGGGAGGGAGGGGGGTGGTCACACACATTTGTTTTTCCTGCTGCTTTTTTTCGTATTCAACTTGCGTCGCTTTGGCCTCAACTCCGCAGCGATGACGACGATTCCGAGGATGATGACGACGATTCCGAGGATGATGATGACGACGACGATGGCGGTGACGGTGGCGCGGCGGTGGGGTGGCCACGGCACGGGGCCGTGCGCTTGGCTTCTCGTTGCCGCCTCCGCAGCTGCCACGGCTGCCACCCTCGGTGTCCGCGCGGAGCCCACGGGGACGAGCCAGGCCCTGGGAGGCTTCTGCGAGGTGGACAAGTGCGACCTGTGCCTGGGCACCTCGCTCTGCCCCCAGATCCTCAGCGGCGACGTCGTGTGAGGCCCCTGCCATGAACACCGCACCCGCACGCAGTGTAGCGAGCAGGAATACAGAGCGCCGTGGGTTGAAGCCTCCTGCACGCGCCGTGCCACTCACGGCGATTTGCCACTTAGAATCACCATCGAGGCATTGGTGTTCAGTCTCTCCTGTTTTCGGCATTGAGCCAGTGGTGGAAATTCCGCGTTCCGCCCTACGACGGGGGCGAGCCTATCCATGGGACAACCACCGTTGACTTTTTCCCTGACAGAGTGGTACTTATTTTTATCGACCGCCGAAAAAGGGGCGAGCCGAGTCAACCCACAACCAGGATTTGAACTCGCAACCTTTCTAAATTGCTAGCCGCCGTCCCTTACTGCCGAGACGTCTTGCTCGAAAACAACACGAAGCAAACAAAGGGACAATCAACAATCCCTGATGTAACTTTTCCCCCCCCGTTCACCCGCCCTCGTGACCGCGCGCCCCGCCATGCCACGCTTCTAAACGGCTCGCCTGCCCCACACGCGCGCGCCCCCAGAATCGAGGAATGGTCACCGGCACAACCGGGTCCCGCCGGCGGTGGCTACGGCGGCGGGAGGTCGAGACGCACGCCCGGTGACCGCACGCACTACCGAGGCCTTCACCGCAACGAGGGCGAGCCCTGGCGGGTGGTGGAGGCAGCGAGACCTCTGGAGCGGCCGGTGGCGGACGCCCTGGAGGTGGCTTTGTGCGCCCGACGCAACGCCACGGGGCCCTGCGACTCGGCTCGTCGCCGCTCGCCCCGCTTGCGGCGGTGGACGCGAGCCAAGCGGCTGACGGTCGACTTGGTGCAGGTGGAGTTAGTACGCGAACGAATCGTGGGCGGGTATCTCGCTCGGCGTCGTCATCCATCGGACGTCATCGGTCATCATCGGTCAATTTTAATCGTTGGTTTTTCGCAGCGAGTTCAACGATCCGTTTTCGCTGTTGCGTTTGGCCACGTGGCAGGTTGTAAGATGCCGCAATGCGTGCCGTTAATTCTCCACCGCCCGAAAAACATTGTTGGCACGTTTACATCAATATTACCGATACGGGCCAATGTATTGACCGAATTTAACATGATCGAGATTTTTTTTTTTTAAAAACACGTTACATGTTCAACTCAGTGGTGTTCATTTTATGTAAGTATTGAGCTGTATTGGTCATAAATTGGTCCAAATTTCATCAATGCAATTAGCGCTTAGAACTAACAGCTGACTGTACGCGACACTTGTTTGCAATCGGGAGCTCGAGAGGGAGCACATCTAAAGGGTGTTTGGCCTACTCTTCCACACTGGCCAGACGTCTTGGAAGAGGCAGGGGTACACATATTTTGTGTAGTCACTTGAAGATGTTCTCTTGTTCATGTTTTTTTTTGTTGCGGTTGCACCGGAGTCAAGAGCCGCATGGCTCACAGCGTTATTTCCATATATATAAAAGGTAAAGTTGTGATTATGTGTCTGTTCAAAATGTTTAGCATACTTCCCGACATGCAACAAACTTGACATTTGCCATGTGGGTACTTTCCAGACTGTACACCATGCAACAATTATAAAAATATACTTTTGTGGGTTTTTTTTTTGGGGGGGGGGGGAGCTCAACAATGCATATATTTTTTGCACAGCAAGTGAGCTGTGACGTCAAATCTGTCACGTGACCCGCGCATGTGGAAGCGTAACGCATTGTAGTGTAGCGGTTAGCGCGCCGCGCTACGAACCCGGCGACCCGAGTTCGATTCCCGCTCACGGCCACCACCGGTGACGATTATTTTAACCGGTTCTGGGCCTCCCCTAGGTCGACTCAGCCTCAAACGAGTAACTGCTGTGGTGTGTGAACATCGCCACTGGGGAGACAAAGGCGGCCGGGCGTGGTGAATCTAAGTCCCGGGCGAAGCCGGGTAGTACCGCTGGTACCTAATAAATGAAACTGAAACCACGCTGTTCTTTATCCATTTAGACTGCCGCACCCTCCGATGAGCACGACCGGCTACATAACGGTTCAACGTGTATACAGTCGTGTTGTTATAACTGCCGTGCAGATGGAAACGGATGGCGATTAGTCCAGCAGCTGATCCACAGAGAACAGGGTGGGGATTATTTATCCGAGCGGTTGCATCTAGGACACGCCGAGTCCTCACTGTAACTCAATTGCGAGGCCGTTGCCGCTGCCGCCGCCGCTGGCTGCTGCTGCCACCCCCAGGGTCTGCGGTCTCCACTGCTGGCCTGTCCCTCCCAGAGGCTGCTGGACCGCATCGTCCGTCGCTTCGCAGAGGCGAGCGACGGGGGCAGCGTGTTCATGCATCACCTGGACGAGCGCGACAGACTCCGTCTCCTCTTCACGCTCGCCGCCAGCCCCCAGCTCGTACTGCAGCAGGTAACGGGCGTGGGGGTTTGCTCAAAGTCCATTGCTGCGGGCCCCCCCCCGCACCACCCATCATACCAGTGGGTCGCGCCGCCACGGCATGGATACCGTGCAGGAGACGTTGCGAACGAGTGCAAGAAAAGTACGCGCCAAGAAAACGCACGCGGAGCTCCACCAGAGCGACGTTGCGTGACAATTTCTGGTGGGATAAATCTGATCGTACCCAGGCCTGATCGTCAAAAACAAAATAAACAATTCTGATCGATCCGAATTTAATCGGAAGCACACCCCCTCCTCCCCCCTCCCCCCTCCCCCCCCCCTCCCCTCCCCCCCACCCCCCGCCACTGATACGCTCGTGTCTCTTTTTTGTCCTCCCAAGATTTTTCCGATGCAGGAGGGGTGGCCGTTCGCCCGGTACTTCGGTGCGTGTGGGCGGCTGGCCGTGTCGGTGGGCACGGTGCCGCTCGCCCATTTCGTCGGTGGCGACGCGGAACGCAGCGCCGATCTGGCCTACCAGGTGCGTGCCCCCCGCTGCAGCGCGTGGACCGGGTGTGGCAGTAGAGCAAATGCGGGGACTTGGGTTTTTTTACCTCCTACATTACGCCGAAGCAGTCGTTCCATGGAATTGGTCAAATAATCGAACGCAGGACCCTACTGAAAAAGTGCGTAGGGGTAAATAAACGACTTCATCCATGATAACTTCATAATGAGTCGATCGTTTTAAGGTGGGATGTCCTAACGTCAATAAATAATGTACTCTCTTAGGCTCTGACCATCACGGCCGGCATGACCTCCAATGACTTTGGCTACCTCCTCTACTTCACCGAGATGCACGGGGCGGTGTTTGGAGTGCGCTGCGATGGGCAGCTCCGCATCGCGGACGCCAGAGTCGTCGGAGTCTTCGACCAGAAGCAGCGTACGCCGGCCGGCGTTGTGCCTTGTGTGGCTGGTGGCCTTGTGTGGCTGGCTTTGACTTGAAGACGCATCATCTATTGATGCGAGTTACATAGATGATGCGTCTTCAAGTCAAAGTGGTTTTATTTTTTTATTTTTCCGTGCTCAAATGAGCATTGCGTTGTTGCTTATATCCTCTTCTTTGGTTCTTTCGGTAAAGTCACGTAGAATGAGAATAAAATAATAAAATAAAATATGACAATAAAATTCTCACGACGTTTCGGGCAGAACACAAGCAGCCTTCATCAGGTGTCGTCCCGACAGTTCTGTTCTTTCACCTGATGAAGGCTGCTTGTGTTGTGGCCTAAACGTCGTGAGAATTTTATTTTATTATTTTATTCTCATTCTACGTGACTTTACCGAAAGAACCAAAGAAGATGAATCCTTGCAGTCATGAAAGCTTTACATCGATGCTTATATCCTGTTGATAGCGAGCCAGCGGTGGATATTCCACATCCCCATGAAGGAATATTCCATAGGACCACTGTTGACTTCCTCAAAGAGTGATATCTATTTTATCGACCCCCGAGAAGGATGATGGACTGAGTCAAATTCCCCAACCGGGATTTTAACTCGCAACCTTCCAATTGAGAGCACCCCGAGCCAGCTCAGACTTCTCCCAAAACGATGCCACCCAGCAATCACGGTGATGTCGGGAACTCTGAATTCAGATCGCCAAATTGTGAGCGTACTTCGCCAACCATAGTGCCACCGCTCCCCACCGCTTTGTACACTGAACACGTGACACACACACATAGAGCAGCAGCTCTGGGCTTCTCTTGGTGAGCAAATAAAATCTCGTGCAGTCCCTTGTTTTACTGGGATTGCATTGCCGTGGCCAAGCTGTGTAGAGAAGGTGTTCGTCAATTGACTTGGGAGTAAAGTTACTCACTTGTAGGAGCAAAGTCATCCATCCGTTTGCATTTAAACTTTTTTTGTTCGATTCGCCACAAGGGAAATTAAATTGTCATGTTTGCGCCGTGGGTGTTTGGAAAAACCGAAACTGCTTTTATTAGACAATTTTAAATGCCACCATAATAATTTTATCTTTTTTTATACTTCCTCAAAATAACGTGGAAAGAAGTGCGTGGAAACGGAAGTGGTTGTGAATGCACAATGCAATATGAAATCAGATTAATAAACCCGATTACTATATTGACAAATTGACTCTTTGGGAAGGAAATGTCTGAGTGACATGAACGGATACTTAATCAAATCTTGATAAATATTTTTTTTTTCCTACCATGTAGCGATAGTTAATTCATCTGAATGAGAATCAAGGCTCACATTTTGCTCTGCTTATTGTTTCGCGTGCAATTCCAGCGAGCGCGCCGCCCACAACAACCGCGACGGGATTCAGCGACGACATCTTCTCCACGTTGTCGCCACCATCGTCGTCGCATCCACCCTCAACTTCGTGCAGCGCCCTCCCCTCCGCCGGCGAGCTGGAGGCTCGCAACGTGGCGCTCGTGTGCCACGTGGCGCTGCGGCCGCTGCTCACGGGCGCGTTCCACTCCCCGCAGGGCCTGCAGCACCAGGTGGACTCGCTGCTGGCGCTGTGCGCGGACTCTGCCATGGGCCCACGCGTTGTCACGCAGGCCGCCGCGTGGCTCTGCTCGCTGCTCGACTCGCTGAGGCCATGCCGGCCGGACTTTCCCTACCGCTACCCCGAGTGCCGCTACGGTGGCGGTGGGTTGTAGAGGTGGACGGGGAAAACTATTTTTTTTTTAAACTCAACTGTATTTTATTATGGCAGGTAAGGCCCACTGAGCTGTATAGCTGTTTTTCAGAACCAACCTGGCCACAAATGGTAGCTCAACGAAGTGGCTTATCGCGTGGAAATGAATAGCAGCTAAATACTCAGGTTGATTATAAATGGAGAGAAAAATCCATGGCACCACGGGGAGAACATGCAAACTTCCAAATATTACAGGCGCCAGGGTAAGGATCGAGCCCACGACCTCCCTCATCGCCACCATACGAGGTTGAGGGGTCGCTCAGAATCCAGTTTCAAATCCAGATTCGAATAATGAACCCCTGTAACGAATAACAAATGTAACGAATAACAAATGTGCTAACGCTGGGCGATGTCACCTCCACATGGGAACTGCTAGAGTGTCTGTCCCGACGATCCATGTCCTCCCTGATGGCTCCAACGACGATCCATGTCCTCCCTGATGGCTCCACTGTGCAACATCCACGCAGTTTATTAACTGGGGAAATGAATAAAGAAAAACCACCATCTGATTTTGTTTATCATTTTCCCTCCCCAAGCGGGGAGGTGCACCATTCCCGGAGGTACTGCAATACCGGGTTGATGCGCGGAGTGGACGGAGCAAGCCCCTATTCCATCTCCCTGTCCCAAAAATCAATTTAATATAAGGTACCACAATGTGGTACGTATCAGATATTAAACTGATAAGAACAGATACTACACTTGATCTTAGCCAAAAGGCCGAGAAGCGATAACTTACACTAGTCGGCGATGGGGTACACATACCCACAGAGACTCTCTCTACGCTATGGGGTCATACCATGATCATCATAAAACAGCAATAATCACATGTAACACAGCTATACACGTAATATGGAACATTGTTTATAGCTTGAAATTTAATTAACTTTAAGTTACAGATCGTATATTTGTATCTAAAATATTGGCTAGTACAGTGTTAGAATTCCGCGCAATGACTTATGGGAGTGACGTGATATGGACTTCTCTACGCTATGGGTCGTACCATAATAATTACAAAACGGCTGTTTTACATGGAACACAATCTCACTCGTGATGTAAAAACAATTTACAGGTAGGAACAACAGGTTCCACACTGCCCACCAGGGATTATATTGGTGGGAACCTCCTGGTTACACCAGCCCACAGGGTTTATTGTGTCCGTCCGTCGTGCATCCAAAAATGGGAGGGGTGGGGCTGGGTGGAGAGGGGCTGGGTGGGGGGTGGGGCTGGTGGGGAGGGGAGGGTGGAGAGGGGCTGGGTTGGGAGGATGGGGCTGGGTGGGGGGTGGGAGGGGTGGGGCTGGGTGGGGGGGGACTGGGCTGGGTGGGGAGGGTGGGGCTGAGTGGGGAGGGGAGGGGAGGGTGGGAAGGGGCTGGGTGGGGAGGGGCTGGGTGGGGGGTGGGAGGGGTGGGGCTGGTTGGGGAGGGGCTGGTTGGGGGGGTGGGAGGAATGGGGCTGGGTGGGGGGTGGGAGGGGTGGGGTTGGGTGGGGAGGGGCTGGGTGGGGAGGGGCTGGGTGGGGGGTGGGGAGGGGCTGGGTGGGGTGGGGCTGGGTGGGGGGTGGGAGGGGTGGGGCTGGGTGGGGAGGGGCTGGTCACCCCGTGGTGCCCTTATAAAACTCAACGTTTAACCTACTCACGCCGGCTTGTGCCCGCCCTCACAGTCGGGCATATTGTGCTGAACGCACCACGTGGTGCCGCCGTTGACCCTGGCCATTGACCGAGCAACCCAACGTTTCTACCAGCTCCCTCCGCAGGAGAATGTGTTTTGTCTGTCTGTCGTGCATATCGGGAATTCCATCCGCATAATTGGAGTTTCGGCACTATTTTTTTATCCGTATTTGGTGAGTGTTTTTAGCTTGAACAAAGTATGATATCCTCCGAACGTAAATACGCAAATCGTATGGTCATCGTCAACGCCACGTGCCCACCAAGGTCGACTGCCATGCTGTTAGACTCAATGGCTGCGCGCGGGGGGGGCAGTCGCGCAACGCCAAGAGCATCGCGGCCAGCGCGGTGGTGGCCCGGGTCGTGCGCGCCGAACCGGCGAGCACGCCGGTGGCGATCGCCGCGGTGTTTGTGCCGCAGCAACGGAACGGCTACAACTGCGGCGTCTACGCCCTGCTCGGCATCGTGCACCTGGTGCGCGATTACGACAGCATCACGGAACAGCGGAGGCAAACAATACAGCGTCGGTGAGTTTGATGACACAGAAAGGGGGTAAGGCTAGGTGAGGCCACATGGTAAGTCCGATAAACATTTCATACGATGCACAAGCTGCTGCACTCTCTCTTTGTTTAACATTTTTCCTCCTCAAACGGGGAGGTGCACCATTCCCAGAGATACTGCAATACCGGGTTGATGCGCGGAGTGGACGGAGCAAGCCCCTATTCCATCTCCCTGTCCCAAAAATTAATTTAATATAAGGTACCACAATGTGGTACGTATCAGATATTAAACTGATAAGAACAGATACTACACTTGATCTTAGCCAAAAGGCCGAGAAGCGATAACTTTAATCTGTCGGTGGTGGGGTACACATACCCACAGATTCTCTCTCTACGCTATGGGTACCAACCGTGATTGTCACACAACAGCTATTGCAGATTCTAGATTTAAAGCTTTCGTGACTGCTAGGATCCATACTCTTTGGTTCTATTGGGTAAAGTCACGTAGGTGAAAATAAAAGAGTAGCTATTGCAGATGTAGCAGAACCATAACAGGCACATTAAAACATTGTAAATAACTTCAAATATCTGTTACGATATGAAAAGGTGATTTTTAAATCGATAATGTATAAGCATAGCACATTGTCACAATCCGGGCAATAGACGCAATGGGTTATGGGAATAGTTCTAGATTTGAAGCTTTCGTGACTGCAAGGATCCATACTCTTTGGTTATATTCGGTAAAGTCACGTAGGTAAGCCAAGCTCAGACTACGGCCTTTAAGCTGTGTGAGAGGGATTAGGGTGCCTTGACAATGGAATTAGCGTAAAAATTAGCATTTGATTGGCGGACTTAGCATGATGAAAGGTGTGCTACACCTTTTGGCGGACTTAGCATGATGAAAGGTGTGCTACACTTTTCATCATGCTAAGTCCGCCAATCAAATGCTAATTTTTACGCTAATTCTTTTGTCAAGGCACCTTAATCCCTCTCACACAGCTTAAAGGCCGTAGTCTGAGCTTGGCTCTGTTTCACTCCAGCGCAGTCTTCGAGACAGGCTGGTCCCTTCACCTGATGAAGGCCGCTTGTGTTGTGGCCGAAACGTCGTGATTTTTTTTTTTTACCTACGTGACTTTACCGAATAGAACCAAAGAGTATGGGAATAGTGTCCATCCGGTCATATCGCCCAGCGCCACGTGGTGGCTCGCTGTTCACTCGTGTACGTGAATAGACGAGATTCAACGTGCTGTGGGGAGAGACAAAGACGGCCGGGAGGCTCTTCCCCTCTTTCTCTCTCTACCTTTGAGTTAACTTCCCCCCCCCCCCCCCTCTTGGTGACCCTGGAGGCTGTGTCCATCAACCGGTTTGTTTGTGAAATCGTCCCCTGGCTATCTCGTGATTCGCAGATAACCTCTCTGCCCTCTCTTGGAGATTATTATTCTATTAATTTATGGCCTTTTTACGATTTCCATCTGTGTTTGCATGTTTTTGTTTTTTTGTGTTTTTATTCAGTATTTCGGGTAATTTAAAAATATATATACAAATATTATTATTGATATTAATTTTGGAAAAAGGTCGATATCCAACGTCACCACGATGCTTGTGCCAGGCCATGTGCACCTTGAGGCCACGTGACGTGTAGAACGCCCGCTGGCAGGTCAAGGGGCAGACGCAGGTGCCACGGGTCGACTGACTGAGATGACTGAGATGACTGGCTGATGCACCACCTGTGCCCCCTTCTGTGTCAACCAGCTGTGCCCTAGCCACCCGGCGCTCCGCTCTTGCTGTGAGCGTCGCTCCTCCGCCCTCCGTTGTTGTTGGAGGGCGACTACCTCCAACTGCCCAGTAGCGTCCTTCACGAGCCTCCTCCACAGAGGCCAATCTTGACACCGCTGGTACCAGTCATCGGCAAGTCCACTCAACTCCACGTCCTCCTGTACCACATCACTCCATCTCTTCTCTAGCCCGTGCCGCACCCGTTTAGCGCCCTCCATCTGGCCGAACAAAAGCTGTTTCAGCATGCGGTGGCTGGGCATGCGGACTACATGACCCAGCCATCGCAGCCTTGCCCACCGGAGGAGCTCACCCACGGGACCTTTCCCAGATCTTTCAAGTATTTGTGAGCTCCTCACACAATCCAGTCTGCTTAACCGCAGGATGGATTGTAGGCAGGCCAGCCTAAATGTTTCTAACCGGCGAAGATGTTCCATTAGGGGGGTCCACGTTTCGCAAGTGTAGAGAAGGGAGGGAATGACCGTGGCCGAGAAGACCTGAAGCTTAGTGCGGAGCGACAGACCAGGTAGCTTCCACACAGCGTTACACAACCGATGAAAAGATATTGCCGCTCGACTGATTCGGAGTGAGACCTCGGCTGTTAAACTGGAGCCGGTCATAAGCACACTGCCCAGGTATGGGAAACTCTCCACTCTCTCCACAATTGCACCATCACCAATTGGGAGTTGTGAGGGTGGAGTGTCCGATGGTACAAAATACCCAGGCAGGTGCTTAGTTTTGGTGGGGCTGATGGTAAGACCCCATCTCTTAGTGGCACGCTCCAGTCTCAGCAGCAGCGTCTCCAACTCCTCCTCTGAATGAGCAGCTATTACCAAATCATCAGCATACATAACGTGGTTGAGCAATGGGGAGCCATCCCTTGACCGCACCCGGGCATCGATCAGCCTCCCATTATATGTGTACCAAATGGAGATTCCCCCGGTACAGCTATTGAAGGCTTCACAAACTACGTGGTCAAAAAGTTGTTAAATAATGTGGGAGCCAGAGGACATCCCTGTCGCACCCCAAGGTGTACAGGGAATGGCTCGG